TATATATATATATATATATATATATATATATATATATATATATAAGAGACTACAAAATAAGCATTTTAACTGCCATTATGTGCTAAAAGCGATAGTAATTGGGAATTATGACTTAGTTATCACTTTTCTTATTTCACAAGTTCACATTTTGCGAATGCAAAAGTGTTACACTTTTCACGAATTCACGCTAGGGGAAAAGATTCATGATCGACCCCCAGAACATAAAATACTTATTATAGAGAGGCATATACAGGGTTGGCAAAAAGTCCGGAAACGGTCAAATATCTCGAAAAGGATCAACTATAGCGAAAAATATGTAAGTAGCAAAGTTGTAGGGCTTAATAAAATGTACCTAATGATGGTTAAAAATTTGACTTTGGATGGAGGAAGGTCATACGAAGGTCAAATTGAATTTTTTAAATTGGACCCCCCACTTTTTATTACATATTCTTGTAGCTTATTTCAAGGGCTTTCCAAAAACCTATAATAAAGTATTTTTTTTATTAGACATATTTAGAGTTATGAGGCTTAAAAGGATTTTAGTCTTTAACAACTAAGCCGGTCATATCGTCTAGCTCAAGATACGAAAAATAAAGTTATTCTTGTTTTTCTCCTGTGTTTATGTTTTTTAGGCTCCCAGCCTAGTTCTTCATTCGCTCGCAATTTCAAATTTCTTTTTTAAAAATGTTAACCGATAAAGAAAAGATAATGCTGTTTCTTTATCGAAAATTTGGAGACCATATTAGATCATACGAAGAAGTAACTGATCTACACATTCAATGCTGCATATCCTGATCGCAATTTTATTTCTAAATCCACCGTTCAGAAGACAGTGTTACGTTTATACGAAACAGAAACAGTTAAAGACCAAAATTCTTTCAAGCCTCATAACTCTAAATATGTCTAATAAAAAAAATACTTTATTATAGGTTTTTGGAAAGCCCTTGAAATAAGCTACAAGAATATGTAATAAAAAGTGGGGTTCCAATTAAAAAAATTCAATTTGACCTTCGTATGACCTTCGTCCTTCACCCAAAGTCAAATTTTTAGCCATCATTAGGTACATTTTATTAAGCCCTACAACTTTGCTACTTACATATTTTTCGCTA